AGTTTACAAAAGAAAAAAAAGGGTCTCCAGCTATCTTTTTCATCTTTTTCATCTTTTTCATCTTTTTTTTATCTTGGTTATACAGACAAAAGTAGTTTTTGTTTTAATGCTATGTCATAGCTTAACATACCTGTATTATACCACTGTTTCTAACAGAAATAAAGGAAACTATGTTAATACAACAAATTTTCCCATTCTTATACACATAACATTCATTTTAATATTTGTAAAAAGGCAACAATATAAAATGTAACTATAACAGGAGGCAGAGGAGTCCTTCATTCGGATAAAGGGACACAGCCTGCGGGGTTTTCTCTCTCGAGGTTTCGGAGGGCACAGCCTCCCTTTTATCCCAAATTCCAATTAATCCCAAATTCCTTTTATTCCCAAACTCTGTCCTTTTCCCTTCCCAATGCTGAGGGACCAGGAAGGCACAGCCTGCCCGAAGCGCCTGCTCCCCCTTAAACCTGGCATTTTACCCCAAAACTCGGAAACTCCTGCTTGTGCAGACCCTTGTCTGTCTCTGTGCCAAACCTGGATTGAATTTAACCCCAAAGTTCCAGAAATTCCCATTTGCTGCCTCGGGATCTGTCTGGGCTCTGTGACAAACCTGGATTGAATTTAACCCCAAAGTTCCAGAATTTGAAATTAACCACAAAGTTCTGGAATTCCCATTTGCTGCCTCAGGATCTGTCCAGGTTCTGTCCCAAACCTGGATTGAAATCAACCCCAAAGTTCCAGAATTTGAATTTAACCCCAAAGTTCAGGAATTCCCATTTGCTCAGGGTCTCAGAATTCCCAGTCTCAGGGTCTGTCCAGGTTCTGTCCCAAACCTGGATTGAAATCAACCCCAAAGTTCAGAAATTCCCGTTTCATGTCTCAGGGTCTGTCCAGGTTCTGTCCCAAACCTGGATTGAATTACCCCCAAAGTTCAGGAATTCCCATTTGCAGTCTCAGGGTTCTGTCCCAAACCTGGATTGAATTACCCCCAAAGTTCAGGAATTCCCATTTGCAGTCTCAGGGTTCTGTCCCAAACCTGGATTGAATTACCCCCAAAGTTCAGGAATTCCCATTTGCAGTCTCAGGGTTCTGTCCCAAACCTGGATTGAATTACCCCCAAAGTTCAGGAATTCCCATTTGCAGTCTCAGGGTTCTGTCCCAAACCTGGATTGAATTACCCCCAAAGTTCAGGAATTCCCATTTGCAGTCTCAGGCTCTGTCCCAAACCCGCTGTTTGCAGTAGGGACAGACACCCAGCCCCATCCCAAAGCCGTTCCCCCATCCTGTCCCGCACGGAATTGTTTGTGAGGACCCTGACACACATCTCCCCTGGCAGGAGGGAGCTCCTGCTGACACAGACCCACCTTTGAGCTGGATCCTGGCCCCTCCAGGTGCATTCCCTGAGCTCTGGGATCCAAGGACACGGCGGAGCTCCCTCCAAAAGCCCCACAGGAACAGCCCTGTGGGTCGAGGTGTCACCATGTGAGCCCCTTTGGAAACAGCTGGATGTTCCCATCAGCACTTTGTGCTGGGAAAACAGCGCTGGTGCTCCCAGTGCCAGGAAAATTAATCCACAAACACCAGAGGTTGGTGTCCAAAAAGGAGACAGAGGAATCCTGGAACTTTATTTGAATAAAGGGAGAGGCCATGGGGCATCCCCTGGGGTCTCTCCCATTTTTGGAGGACTCAGCCTCCTTTTTATCCCAATTTCCCAGCCACATTTCCCTTCCCTCTATCCCCACTGGCTGAGGTGCTTGAGAGGCACAGACTTCCCTGACACCCAAGATTCCCCTCTAATGTATAAACCCTCCCTCTTCATTTTTAATTCTTAAGAATTGATGTTGTTTCCCCATTGTCTCTTTCATCTTTCAATGTCCAATTTCATTCACCAGCAAACCTACAGTTTGTTTGTAAATAACTTTTTTTCCATTCATTAATCAGTGGAATCCATCCCATTGTTTCTTTTATTTCTCAGTGCTAGTTTTATTTACCATTTATTTTACCAGCACAGGAAAGACAGATCCATCATTCCTCTCACCAGGCACTGCTGCTTGTCCTTGCTCGGGAATGCCACAGGAGGGAGAGCAGCAATTCCAGAGTGTGGAACCAATGAAGGGTTCTGCTTTTCCTTTTGTTGTTTCATTTTCTCAGATAGAAATAAAATATTGCAACACCCTGGGGCCTCCCTCACCGCTGCTGGTTTAAATAATGTGGAATTATGGAATGCTTGGGCTTGGAAGGGACCGGAAAGATCATCTCATTCCAAGGGCACTCAGTGAACTTTCCAATTTTGTCACTTAATGGAAGGAAAAGGGGATAAAAGAACTTCCCAAAGTGAAGCACCATGATGGGATAAGAGTGAGGAGAGCCTGGTGAAAACTCAGAGTCGTTAAGGCTGGAAAGACCTTTAAGATCCTGGAGTCCAACCATGCTCAGCATTGCCAGCACTGACCCCTGTCCCCAGGTGCCACCTCCACAGGGCTTTGGAACCCGCCAGGGCACCTCATCCCTGCCCTTTCCATGTAGGAATATTCCCAATATCCACCCTGAGCTCCCCTGAGGCCGTTCCCTCTCCTCCTGTCCCTGTTCCCTGGGAGCAGATCCCAAATCCCCCCGGCTGTCCCCTCCTGCCAGGGACTTGTGCAGAGCCAGAAATTCCCCCTGAGCCTCCTTTGCTCCAGCCTGAGCCCCTTCCCAGCTCCCTCAGGAATTCTCCAGCCCCTTCCCAGCTCCCTCAGGAATTCTCCAGCCCCTTCCCAGCTCCCTCAGGAATTCTCCAGCCCCTTCCCAGCTCCCTCAGGAATTCTCCAGCCCCTTCCCAGCTCCCTCAGGAATTCTCCAGCCCCTTCCCAGCTCCCTCAGGAATTCTCCAGCCCATCCCAGCTCCCTGAGCCGCTCCTCACCCCGCTCGTGTCTCCAGTTCCGCGGAGTTCACCTCCTCTCCCCATCTCTTCCCCAGCTGTCACTGCGGATGTGACACAGGGAGGAAAGGTGGCCTCTGCCGGTGTCACCGCGGGATCGGCAGAAGCTTTCCGAGGACCAAGATTCCAAGAGACAAATCAGAGCAGTGGAAGGAACGGGGATGAAAACCGCAGGGTGGATCCTGATCAGGGGCTGGAGCCGGAGATGCTCCCAGGGAGGCGCTGCAGAGCCTCTGCAGCTCCTCTGAAACTCCACAGGAGAGCCGGGCATCCCTGGGATGGAGGGATGGAGATCTCAATCCCCTGGGAGTACAGGGACAATCCTTGGGATGGAGGGATGGAGATCTCAATCCCCTGGGAGTACAGGAACAATCCTTGGGATGGAGGGATGGAGATCTCAATCCCCCCGGGAGTACAGGGACAATCCCTGGGATAAAAGGGATGGAGATCTCAAATCCCCTGGGAGTACAGGGACAATCCCTGGGATAAAAGGGATGGAGATCCCCCAATCCCCCGGGACTACAGGGGCAATCCTTGGGAAAAAAAGGGATGGAGATCCCCCCAAACCCCCCAGCAGCACAGGGACAATCCCAGGGATAAAAGGGATGGAGATCCCTCAATCCCCCAGGAGTACAGGGACAATCCCTGGGATAAAAGGGATGGAGATTCCGCAATCCCTGGCAGCACCCTTGGGTCTCCACCCCAAGCAAGGCACAAACTCAGGGTTGGAATGGTGGCCTCTTACACCATCCTAGGCACTTCCTCAAATTTTCAGTTATTTTCTATTTGCTTTTCTTCATAATCAGCAGTTGTGGATTTTGGTGATCAGCAGTTGTGGTTTTTGGTGATCAGCAGTTGTGGATTTTTGAGATCAGCAGTTGTGGATTTTGGTGATCAGCAGTTGTGGATTTTGGAGATCAGCAGTTGTGGTTTTTGGAGATCAGCAGTTGTGGATTTTGGAGCTCCCTTGGGGGACGTGGTCTGAGATGATCTCCTGATGCCTCTTCAGCCTCCCATCCTTCTTTTAAAATATCTCTAAGTATATAGATAATATATTATAAAAAATATAATAAAAGTAATAATATAAATATAGCATTATTTTTGGTTACAGATTTAAACAAGCATTTATTCTGTTAGCACACATTCTGCAAGGCTTCTTTCAATCATTTCACAACCTAAAGCTGTCTAAAAACGTCTTCATAGGGCCTTTTCCTCAATTACTACAAAACTCAAAGTTAGCATTAAGACACATTAAACACATTAAAACACATTAAATGCATTAAAACACATTAGAAAATGTGTTTGTAGAGCCTTTCAGCTCACGTTATTCCTACTTCCCCTTTTTAAGTGATTACAAATTCTTCCATACACAAAAAAACAATTTATAGCTTGTGCAAAGGATAGTTTGAAATTTATACAACAAGGTCGTTTAAAGCTTATATTAATTAATAATTATAATAGTTATTAATTAATTAACGGAGGAAAGGCCAGGGGCGGCCGCGCTGTGGGCAGGCGAGGCCCGGCGCTCCAGGGACGCAGTCGGATTGCCGGAGCTATTCCCGGTGCCGTTCCCGTTCCTTTTCCCGGTCCCATTCCTTTTCCCGTTCCTTTTCCCGTTCTTTATCCCGTTCCTTTTCCTTTTCCCGTTCTTTATCCCGTTCCTTTTCCTTTTCCCGTTCTTTATCCCGTTCCTTTTCCTTTTCCCGTTCCTTTTCCCGGTCCCGCCCCGCCGCTCCCTCACGGAAGCCGCACCCCCCTCACAGCGGCCACAATCCGACCACGCCCCCCGAGCGCGCGGCGGGCCGAGCCCGCCGCCACCGACCAATCAGAGCCGGCGGCGCTGCCCGCGCGCTCGGAGCGGCCATTCACCAAGCGGCGGGGACATGAATGGGGCGGGTCACGTGGTCAAGCGCGTTCCCACGCCCCCTCCGCTGTGTTCCGGGATGGAGCCGGGAGCGGGAGCGAGAGCGGGAGCGGGATCGGGGTCGGGATCGGGATCGGGATCGGG